AGTGCGATGCAGGTATGCTAAGATGGGTGGGAATCCTGGAGGAAGATGCAAACACTTAAATCCTTCATAACCGATGCACTTGCTGGGACAGTTCTTTGCAAAATCATACGGGCTGGTTGTGTCTTTAAACTGACATGCGCTCACCATGGACCCGTTGTTTGAGAGACAAGTGTCTTCATTGAAGTTCCAAGCTCTCCTACTACCACGGATAACAAGCGATGCATTCGGGTGTGCTACTGAAGGTGGAGTGTACTTCCAACATGGCTTTAGGTTTTCGTAAGTTAAGTACCAGTTATCATGCCTGGAAATATTAGGGTTATATTTAATAACCACACCATCAATAGTTACGGATTCGATTAGGTCACCAATAGAGAAGGCTGCTGCCTTTTCTAACTCATGAACCGTCATGTTCATGTCGATTCCCTTGAACTGGTGGGTATTCTTGATATTTACTGCTCTATCCAGGCAGTCTGTTTCAAGACCAATTTTTATAAGCTTAGAAACATCGTACAGGAAGTGCGAGCATACGCTTACGTCCGGAAAGAAGTATTCTTTTGGAGTTATAATTTTCATGGTCTGTATTGGCCGCTGCTCGGCATACATTTTCAGAGTACCAATCGACTGTTGAATGAGAATTGTGAAGCACGCAACGTAGCCAATCCATAGGAGAAGGAGACATTTGATGGATTCACGAGGCTGCAATTGTGTCGTTTTTGAATTAATGAAGAGGACTGTTGCTATTTTATTGGTTACACTCCGATCGCTGTGGAGAAAAAAAGTTTAAATTAGAATAAAATTTAAAAATCCAAAAGTTACTTAAAAAGTCATCACGGCTCGCCATTTATGGGAACTATAATGCAATGACTCGTGTATTTAAATACAAACCTCTGTTTATGCTGCCTGCCGGACATCTTGCATGGTCGGCCAACCATGCTTCTGCGCCGAGTGAGACTACAAGTATGGTAGGCATGGCTCGGTCTTTTATAGACTCGCCATTGTATTAGATAAAAAAGTGGTTCAATTGAAAAATTGTGTTATTATATGAGTTTTAAGGACTAGAATATATTGAAAGTGGCAAACTGATGGAAATTCTTCCGATTGGACCATCGATCTCGGCTCCTTTAGTGTGACGGCAACTCATTCATATTCCATCACAGTCTGATTGGGCCTCGTTACGCTTCAAAAGAATATAGAATTGCTCTGTTATTCTATTGAAGTATTTGATGCAATAAAAATCCTGATCATGATTAGATCTCCCTGAAAAGCGCGAGAATGTTTTGCTGGTTAAGGTCCACAGTGGATGCAATCGTCACGGACTCTAACATCTGAGAGATTGGGTGTCGTTATTTAGCAACGACTGTCAAAAGTAAAATAACTCTTATGATTCCAGAAACATTGAAGTGATTTCTTGTCATTGAGAATTGAAATCCGTAGTTCGTTATTCTATGTTGTTACACAATATGCTTGATGTTATTTTATATTGTTATTCGTCAGAGATTTAAGTTTGTCAGGAATTTAGTTGAAACTTCAACAGAACTGAATCGCCAAATATTATTTCAAAATTGTAAAAGCTGCAAATTGTAGCGTATTAGTGTTATTCAAAGAAATGACAAATATGGTTCACCAAATCGAAGAGTGACAGCTGAATTCTATTCAGTTAAATCGTGTTCCATTTTGTGAGTTTGCCTTACTAAATTATATACGGAAATTCACCGTTACATCACTCAAGGTTGCAGTATTCTTGCAGTGTGTTAGGTCTGTTGAATTAGGCTGAAGAGGTCAGAATCGCTAGATTATCGCTGCCAATATGATGTTGATGGATGGATAAAGCAGTTGTAATTCATTAAGACCATATTGTGCATTGCAATACTACAATTCCTCACAATATTATTGAGACATAATTTTAAATTTCTTTACGCATTCTAGCAGCTTCGTTGCAGACAACTTGCTGTAGCATTCCGTGTTTGCAAAAAGGGGTTAATAAATATTCTAATTGGTGCCTAATGTGAAGGCAATGTTGGTAGAATTTTAAGGCAAAAACTCTCATTGACCATAAATTTAATCTTATAATTAAAGAGCCCTAATACTTTATCTATTCTAATTTCTAATCAGAATGCGAAATGACTTCTGGTAACATTGCAAAAGAGACTGGTTATCCAATCAATTTCATCTATGCCCATAGCCCTTGCTTAATATAACGTGTCATCATTATTATGGAGGTAAATTTTGTAATTGCGTTTTCGGAAACTGCCCCAACACGCAGTTATTTTTTTCGAGGAGCAGTGGGAATATATTTCATTCTGGACTTTGTTTTCAAAATTTCAGATGCTAATTCTAATCTGAGTACAGTTACTCTAAGCTGTTGTTATTTAACAAAAATTCTTTATCGGTATACTCACGACAGGATATCAAAACAAAGATTACGCGTTGCGTGTGTTCATTGTAGCGTCATCACTTTGCTGAAACTTTTTTTTTTACAAAGAGTAAAAAAGAAATGCGGCAAGCCAACTAAAGCAAATAACGGAAAGTCAAACGCATTAAAAAAAGCCTTTCGCATACAGTATTTGCTAAATGGTGTTCATAAAGAGTCCAGGCGAAATATCAATAAAATGAGTGAAGTGATCGATAATTGATCACAATGTCAGGCGCTCATCGACATACGCTCGGATCAAATCTTCTTTACTGTCCTCAAGATATTTGCAGATATGCTCTCCGAAATGCTATAGCGGTTTATATAGCGGTTTCAGCGTTAGTAGGCCGTAGGGCTGTCGCCGATTCTTAACATCGCAGAACATTCACAGCTTGTTGCGATCTCGACTCGCAGCTCACTGCTTCAATTTTGCTTTGCTTAACCACCCGGCCTCCTCGCCGATTCTGACCAGAAACTGGCGCACAGAGCTGGGATCGAACCCGCGCCTCTCTGCTCCAATCCTGGGACTCTGAACTTTAACCACTGGGCCACCCTGCCCAATAGAAAGGGTGGATATTGTTTCTGCTGCGATTTACTAATGAGGATGATTGAAATAATCGTGCTATTCTTGTACTAACCTTTGATTTTGCTGTTAACCTGTCGATAAGAATTCATAAAGGTTTGGAATACTTTAGGAAGCCCGCAATTTCTTAATATCATTTATACAATAAAATACTCATTATATTAAGACCGTGTATGAAATCAAGAAAATGAGAGAGCTAATAAATGTATATACAACGTATCACGTCGAGATAAAGAAAATTGTACTCCATACAAATTCTTACAATTCGCGATCAAAAAGAAGCTATAGGAGAAGTAGTGAAATATTTTTTTAGGTTTACTCATTCAGGAATAACTGAATTGATAATAACCGAAAACAATCATCCTAACCGTTTTTAAAGCTAGGACACTCAGCAGTGTCGACACGCGAGGATATCCCTCGACGGGTCCACGTGATCTGCGACGCGTTTGCCCGACTCCTCCAGCTCAGGGACGATGTCCGACGCTTCTTCCACCTCTTCTTTAGCCAGTTTCTCCAGTTCAGGGACGATGTCCGACTCTTCTTCCACCTCTCCTCCAGTTCAGGGACGATGTCCGACGCTTCTTCCACCTCTTCTCTAGTTTAGGGACGATGTCCGACTCTTCTTCCACCTCTCCTCCAGTTCAGGGACCATGTCCGACGCTTCTTCCACCTCTTCTTTAGCCAGTGTCGAACACACAGCGGAAGGTTGACACTTTGACACCAGGCTTGAAAATCCTGAATGACTCAAGAAGACAGTTTATTGTTGTATGATCATGGTCATTCTACGTCAAGTAAATATTTCAAACTATCGACAGTTAGGAAAAGATTCGGTAGAATAACCTATTTTTAGATCTCCTATGGACAAGTCACGAAAAGTACAAGAATCGCTGACAGGCCATATCAGGCCTATTCATCAGCGCCGACTTAAATATGCTATGCTATAATATAATAGGCTTAGGATTTTATTATTAATAGCGTTGCGAACATCGTGTAAAATACTATCATAATCAGACAAGAAAGTACAATAATTATTAAAGTTATCGCTCGATATAACTTCACTTAGAAGAATGGATTGTAGACATGGATTGGCTTAGTCACAGATAAAAACTATTTTCGAGACTGAGAAATCATTTCCGGAATTCTTACAGTTCGAACCGATTGATGAGAACTCTGAAATGTCAACAGAATAACTAGCGTCAGGCCTAATTAGGGAAGACATTTTATTACTATTTACACTTCCTAATTCATTCATGCTAAATCATTACCATCAAAACTCTAATTCAGAACATAGGGTCACTTTTTCCTTTAACAAAACATTTATATCATAATATTCAGTGAAGAGTTTTGAAGAGAGAGCAAGGCTCGCTCAGTGGTATATATCGTTATATAATTTTCCCAGTGCCTGCGTTTTTGGACGACATTTCAACATACATGTACATTAGAATCATAGGAGTCGATTGAACCTCCAACTATAAAAACCATGTAATTTGAGATTTTTTAATGTTATTGGTTTAATTCGTCCATATTATTAGCAAGCAAAATTTACTGGTAATCTTGACATTTTAACCATAGCAATTTCAGTGAATAGGCAATCTATCAAATAATTCAAGCATACGTTATTTTGAAGTTGAAACAGACCTTAGGTTCCTGTTGGATATCAAGTTTTCCAGCCGCGTGAGATAAACTTCAAACTAAAACTCGCAAGTTGGTGGAACTAGTAGGCTATTAAATAACATAAGCGTCTAGATCTTCACCCGAGAAATTTTAATTATCTGGCCTAATGTCGAGTATGAGAAGGAGTATGAATCTGGTCATAAAGATGATTTTTTTTCTCCAAAGTTTCTGTCACATGACAATGAAGATTATGAACAACTACTTTGCTCTGTGTCGCCTCAGCAGTTTGATGAGCATGCCAAAATCGTTCACATCGAAAGTACTAATCAAAAGGATGAAGTACGTGTTATGTAAAAAAGAGACTATGAATTGCAGAATAAATAAAAGTATCAGTTAAACATAACTTTTATTCGCATCTGCATTCTGCAATGATTAAGGCACTTTTTTGAGACTATAATTTAGACAACTATGTCTTCTAGCAGTTTCTTAAGTTGTGTAGTAGCACAGAGTATTATTAGGCAAACAAAACAAATATTTAAAAAAAAACTGGAAGTGAAAAAAACCTTGCTACAGAAGCTGGGAGTCGTCGGACTGGAAGAGGAAGAAATATGTGGGAAGATCCAATTTACTTCCTTTCGGAGACAGTGGGCAAAATCATCGAGATTAGTTGGAGGAGTACGTGGTTTAAAGAATCTATATTAATGCATAGAACTAATAATCCTGCATTCTTTTAGTGCACAGAAATAAAAATCATGTATTCATAGAATTTCATTTAGTTGCAGTTCCAAAAATCGTAGGGTTTACGAGTTGGAAGATGAAGTTGTCGATAGGAGCGTACATTTTCTGCCCATCCACTTCACTGAAGCCGGCAGATTTGACCAACTGGTAATGATGAGAGGAATAGTGAATGGATTTACTTTTTGAGAAACAACTCTCGGAGTAAGAAAGGAATGTTGATAAGTGAGAATAAGTTCAAACCTCAACGGATCAATCGACATCACGAATTAGGCAGTATTACGATTTACGAATGCATTTTCTGATTTGGATATGTTAATTATTTTCAGCGTATCAAAATAACTTCGTTGGAGACAAGTTAAAAATCATTAATCTTCACCTGGAGCGTCTCTCTGTTGAGCTCACAGCCATCGAACAGCGCTGGCCAGACCTGCAGCCACGTCAACCAGTCCTGGAAGCGCTGCTTCGTAGGATGCTTCTCTGAGTCCCATTCCCGTACGTGTTCTAAGAAGTACAACTTGCCGCCCTGTTCAGCAAGCGGGTATAAAATAATTCGTTTGAAAATTTACAGACAAGAAAAAGTTTTAGAACTCAAGAGGGGAATGTTTAAAAATAAAAAAAAAAACATTGCATTCACTGGCCATATTCTTAGTATGAAATTGATATACTGCCTAATTATTTTAGCATTCAACGTAAAAACAAGAAAAGAGCATGATAAATTTAATTGGGCAAAAATAGGTAGCAATTAATGACCCTATAATTGTCATGCTGTCCATTACTATAGGATCGACTAACAGGAACGAGCACCCGGAGAACTTGTTGCAGGAACTTCTTGCAGTCTCCCACACTGCACAGCACCAGCGACACCACCACCACGTCCACGCTGTTGTCCTCCACCATCTCCATGTCTTCGCCTGTAACGCAATAAACCATCGTTAGGCAAGGGACTATTTTATCTGTATTTACCGTGCAACAAAGCGTCCGGTACGGTCGTCATGTTTAAATAAATAACACGTTAAATCAGCTGGTGGAGGAGTGAATTGCCCGGAAGCCAAATTTGCGACAATGCATCATCTACCTACCATCGTCAAGTCTTCGCCTGCGACAAAAGAAGCCATCGTCTGGTTGAAGAGTGAATTGCCTTGTCATTAAACTTGCGACAATGAGTCATCTATCATCGTCATGTCTAAGCCTGCAAAACAGTGAAGCATCGTCTATTTGAGGAATAAATATCATCTTCGTTAAAAGGGAAGCAATGCATCCTCATAGTCACGTCGTTACCTGGTAAAAAATTTGCATCATAAACGAAGACAAACTAATTATAAATCAGCGATTGGATACTGAATTTTCCGATGTGAGTGATAGGTACTTCAAAAGTTGAAGTAACGCTGGTTATTCCAGATGGTATTATGTAGTAAAATGTTCACCCTACCTTTCGCGACGATGAACTCTTCTGACTTGATGTTGGGGAACTTGGCTCTGTTTGCGTTGTAGTAGCTCTCGAAGTAGGGGTTGGGGTCGACCACCACCAGGTGACTGCCTTCAGGGTAGAATTTGAAGTTTGTACCTGCAAAAGAAAATGTTACAGGGAGAGGATAGGAAATTCGTCACTAATTTGGAAGGACACTTGTAATACGTTAAAACGCACAATAAATGATGGTCAAATGACTCAAATCTCTAATATATTCACATATGTGTTTTCAATGAAAGTAAAAGTGTTTCAAGAGTTGGACGTTTAAATGTCTAGAATAATAACTTCATTATAATGGTAGTTCATCAATAAGTTGCAACTATTATAATTCTAGAAAAATATACAACCGTACAAATAAGGATTACATTTAATTCAGCCTTTAGATGAACAGCTTTTATGGAAGCTAAGGGAGCTAAGGGAACATTCACTGAAGACACGTGTATTTATTTTTTTTTCGCGTATAATGAGCGAATGAATGGTGAGGGTTTATTTTTACCAAAATCTTATCACACGGCGAGATAAGGGCACTTATCGCACGGCCATGGCACAAGAATGGAGAGAATCATTATGGTCACGTCGTGAAGATGATTATTGTATGATTACAACCCCTGTAACTACGTATCGCAAATTTATTAAAATGAATTCTTTAAATAGTTATGAACAACAGTGAAAAGAGTGATTATACAAGTATGTATTATGGATGATATCATTGGGATGTAGACAACGCCGCTGATTGAGATGGTGCATTCCATTGTGTTCGACATACGTTCATGTACTCGTGTAGTTTAAGGTAGTTTGATGTACCTACACGAGTTAGCCCTTTTCTGCCCTTTTTACCCCCAACATCGGCATGAGGTTCGAGGCATTACATTCCAAGTTAGAATGAATCATTGCATCTTTATAGGCGGCGACTCGCAGGCCTTATACGCCTGGCCGTCCTGGGTGAGTCATTTTAATGGCCTAACCAAATATTGTATTCAGGATACGTAGATGAAAAGATTTCACAATACGCGATACTTATTAAAATTTTCGTCAGCAACGAATAAAAAAAATGCTCATTTAGCTTCTTCAACACACCACATGAGAGAGGTGACAAATGTCCATCTTCCTAATGATTTGATGCCTGATGCGACCACAAGAACTGGAAGTGTTTCGTAGAGTTCTGCGTAACTCGTGCGCGGCAACCGGATTTCCGTTCCGCGTTTGCATGTTAAGCTTGTGTCATGACTGTGTTGGTCAACTTGAGAGAATAACTGCTAGGGATATTTAATTGTTATACATTAAATGAGATGTGAAATATGAGCCGGTCTAAGATGAATATGACCCAGTGCTGAAGGGCAGATAATGTTAGATCACAAAAGAGAACTAAATGATTGTCTACTGCAACAGGTACGGTGGGTAGCAATCATCTACCTGGTGGGTTCACCAGGTAGATGATTGGCTGTTTCACCTGGTAGATGATCGGCTGCTTTACCTGGTAGACTATTGGCTTCTTCACCAAGTACGTTGATTGGCACTTCACCAGGTACTTAAATGGGCTACTTCGGCATATAATGATTGGCCACAAATGATTCGCTGCCTCACCTGTCCCAACGCCGACTTCGAGAATGCGCAGCGCTGTCGCCCCAGGTCGTCGCGGCTGCTCCTTCAGGAGGCCGTCGAAGGCTTTCTTCTTGAACGCCTCGGCCGTCGGGTCGACGCTCTTGCTCAGTTGCGCCATGACAGCCGCAAACGCCCTCAAATAATATAGGCCATTTAAACATTTAAATGTTTCAAGTTCATTAACAAATTCAGATCTTTCAAGTTCACTAGCATCGTTGACGCTCCGAGTATGAACATCTTCAAAAACAGACTAGACGAAGCAATGCAGGAGCATATGTTCAGTCTTAAAACGCCTAGCAAATTACGGACCAGGCAATAAGTCTAGCAGCGATCTCAATCAATCGTCAGCTATGGAAAGATCGGGTTCCAAAGGCCAGATCCCTTGTGAATCAAGTCACGAAAAGTTCAAGAATCGGCAACAGGCCATGGGCCTATTCTTCAATGCCGACACTTCTATTCTATTCTAAAACATTCAAATGTTTCAAGTCCTTTAGAACATTGCAATAGTTCAAGTTCATTAAAAAATTCAAATGTTTCAAGCCCATTAAAATATTTAAGTACTTCAAGTCCGTTGTAATTTTCAAACGGTTTAAGTCCTTCACAACAGTGAAAATGTAAGATTTAATTCCATTGAGTCAGCATCCGATGAAATCATGACAAGAATAAAAATACAGTTTTTGTAAATTCCGACTGGTAATAAAAATTACTATTTTATAAGCCAAACTCCAATCGTCAATGTGCTATGAACAATATTTTGATTATTCAACATGTCAATAAGAAAGAAATTAACATAGGCCAAAAATATTACTACACAAAGAACAGTTTTTGACTCGTGCAACTTAGTCGGATTATCGTCTACGTACCAACTGCAATGAGAGCTCACCGATGGCGTAGATTAGGAAGCACCTTGCAGAATATGAAGCCGAGGCAGAAACTCGCTATTAGAGACCACATGATGGAAGTTCTAGAAATCAATCAACTTGTCGTAAGATTTATAGCCTAATTTATCTTAGGGGTGTTCATAAGAAACATTAATTGCTACTAACACCGAACGATTAAAAACATTTCATCAGCAATAGAATGTACGGGGGGGGGGGAGAATTTACGCAGAGTGCGGTAATTAACGATTTACGCAGCTGGCCCATTACGCGAATTACGAAAGCTATCAAGTGAAATTACAAAGATTTCTGATAGATCATTTAAACCGCTGACAGGGTAGATTTGCTCTATCGTAGGCAGGTGAATTAAAAACGAACAATAACAATTTTTGACCGAAAGTTCACCGTAATTGAGTAGCTATAACGGCATCTTTTACCTTATCTTAAACGCTGTTACTCTTTAAATTTTGAAAGTTTTCCATGATATCATAAACAGTTGACAGCAAAACCTAGAATTGATTGAATAAAAAATGGTGATATTACAGGATAACCTATTTTCCAGATAGTTAAAAATTTCATAGGCCATCTAATTTCACATTAAGGATATGCTTTTAACGGAATTGGTCCAAAGTGCCCGATCGTTCTTATGGAATGACCGCCACAACATAGTTGCAAGAGCTCATAAAACAAACAAAATATATGTTTACTGAGAAGCATTTATAATGCAGTTGATCAAGTATATGTCACATTTCGTGAGGGCTTTCAGCCACTACAACAGCCGGAGAGCACTGGTAAGCGATTGACATATCCAACTTCGACGTCTTGGATATAACTGATTCGGCCCTCAGCTCGCAGCACAGCTGATTGCCAGAGAAATTGTGTGAAATAAAGAAAATTGCCGTAACTGAGTAAAGAGAAAACGGGTCTGTGTCTGGAGGGACTGTTTTATTAAATCAAATTAGTTAAGGGGAGGAGGTTCGCTTTACCACATCTGGTAAAGCGAAGACGACCGGCACATTTTTTGCGAGGAGCAAGCAATATTTAGAGTTTGTTTTTCAGCTTATAATGTGTGTTTCCAGTGTGCCATCTATTTGAAAATAATTTCGCTACCACAAATGTTTCATCTTGACTATTATTCAAGGGAGTCCTTGGTCATCGTGCCTCTGGCGTCATGACGACGGTGGTGGAGAGGTTCACATGTTATAATAATGAAAAAAGTTGGTTTCAGCGTTGTAGATTGGGCCATAAGACCTGCCGACGCTTCTTAACATCACAATAATTTCACAGTTTGTTGTGCGTCTCGAACACGCAACTCATCGCTCGAATATCTACTCTGTTTAAGCGTCCGGAAACATCGCCAGTTTAGACCAGGAATTTTCACAGATGATCTTCTATTAACACTACTCGAACATACTACTCAGTGCTCGAATTTTTGTCCTCTGAACTTTATCCACTCGGTCATCATATGTTCAGATGTTCATTACTTGTGATGTAATCACGACGGGGTTGTGAAATAGTCTCGTCCATGCATCACCGATGACATCACGACATTCAATACACCACCTTTGTAGCTAGCTATTCTTACGCGCTAAACCTATTGCATTCTATTAAGCTGCTCCGTCGCCAAGACTGTGAAAAACAACGACAATGATCACAAGATATGTATCATTAGAATTTATTTATTTATTATTATTTTTTTTTTGCATTGATATACATTCCCATTTCTAGTGAAAAAAAAAATTTTATTTGTACTTGCAGTGAATGTACGTACTCCTCATCGGATAAAACGAAATGAAGAAATTAGTGAAGGAAGCGAACGCCGATCAGTCACAACTAAAGATTTTCAAAGTACATTGCGGCTATTTAAGATGGGTTTCATACGCCTAGTAGCACCCTATTCAATTCTTCAAGAATTTCGATGTTACAACAAAAATGTTCGATTAGATAACAGTCATGATTTGCAAAGATTTTTTCCGTGTTGTGCTGTGAATTCAGGCGCCTGAAACGCACAAGATGGTTTAGCTGACACGACAGTGCAGTGTTAAAAATAATGTTGGATCTCAGCCACGCAGGATCAAGTAATACTTGGACTAGGGGGGCATTGAGAAGATATTAGGTATGATAATAGAAGAGAAAGAACTCCTCCCTTCATCCTTTTCTGCACTCAGTCGATCCTATGTCTGGTGAAATTATCGAATAATATATAAATTTCAGTCAATAATTATTGATGTGACAGAAGTTAAATCACTAAGAAATTATTTTTTCCGAAATTATTGAAATAACAATGGTTTTTAAAGGCTCATTTTATTTCTACACCCGTTCCTTATTTATACGTATATCATAGGCGTCACTGTATGCCAAATATAAGGTTCATTTCAAAGAATTAACCCTTTATCGACCAGCGAGTGCAAAATACTCGCAAAGGATGCAAAATAAATTGCATTCATACGGCCAGAGGTGGGCAGTAGTGCGCTACATTTTCAGCAGCGGTAGCGGCACTACGTTTAAGGCAATGCAGCGGTAGCGGTAGCGCCCGCTACATATTTAAGTAGCGATACGAGGTTTTGCAGCTACAGCGCTACCGCTACATTTATAGATAGAACCTTTAGATTTTACTTAATAGTATTAAATATTATTTAAAAACCAGATGATACCTACATAATATAAATTACAGAATAAAACTGTACGAAAGATTTCGGTTTAATGTTGTCAACCTCAGCCTGTTACTAGTGTCAACATGTTAGTTGTTACCAGAGGTGGGCAGTAGCGCACTACATGTAGCGGCCGCTAAATTTTCCGTAGCAGTAGCGGCGCTACATTTAAGCAATTGTAGCGGTAGCGCCCGCTACATTTGGAGCATGTAGCGGTAGCGGCCACTACATTTCAAAGTAGTGCTGCCCAGCTCTCTTCATACCACATTGCTGAAACTTATTCATCGAAAAGAATCTGAGAAGTGACAAAGACCTCCAATTGGGCATAGCGCAAACCTGAAATTAAAGCAATATATTTGTCAAATTTTTGGATTTATTCTATAAAAGAAATTATCCTAGACTCCCTCCCAAGGGTCATAACTGTGTTCGCCACAAGGCTGGTCTCAGTCGTGTCCAGGCGCTGCTGGGGGGAGGTTCTCGCGCGGGTCGTCGTGTCGGCGCCCCGCCACGCTACCCAGAGATTCGGGTGCTGCTGCCCACATGCTCGTTCCCCTAAACACGAATTAACACCGAAATGTTGTATTACATTAATTATCGTGTGAATAGGATACCTAAAATTGCAAATGCTCCGTGAATGTGGTTAATATTACGGTTAATCTCATAATTTACCATTATTTAAAGGTGCATTATGATATTTCATTTACAGACTTATTTTCGAACCTTGTGAAAATCAACAAGTGCGTCTCAGTACGGAACTGAGAGTCAGAACCTAAATTGATGCAAATAATTACATCCTGAGTGTTTCTAATACATCTTGAGGCTTTGAGTGAACGTTTGATACTTAATCTTGTATATTGTGCCTTTCGAATTGATACGAAATTTATCGTAGATGTACTACTTTAAGTCTTCAGTAAAAATAATACCATTTTGTGTAGTATCGATCATATAAATACGAGAAAAGGAAGAGAATTTCGTATAAAATCGATCATCGGAGAGAAAAAAAGAGCATTGTAAATCAAGGGAAATCACAATCATCACATAAATCAAGGAGAAATGAAGACATCTATCTTGCCTGCTTTCGTCATCGTTGCCTGTGCAGATTAACAGCATAAAATGATGGAATTAGAAGATTGAAAGTTATGACATGTGTTATAATGTTCACTTTTTATTCTGGAATTCGCATTACATTTTAATTGCTTCTTATCTTAAAGTATCGCAGTAACTCTTCTTAATTATTGAATTGCTTAGTGTCCATGTAGAAATGAGGATTGCACGATTACATATCATGTTATTAATTATCGTTTAAATATTATCATTATTACACCTTGATAATTATAATTATATAATTATAATTATTACACCTATTATAACACCTTATGTTCTTGTTTTTTTTTTTACAATTTTATCTCAATATACGAGGTTGTCCAGGTAGCCTTCGTTATTCCTATTACAAGCTCCTCGCTGTTAAAATTTTGACCACAATTTCCGTGTTGCAGATGAACAGTCTTAGTAATTTTGTAAGCCTTGAGTCGCTCGTTTATTAGTGTTGAAGCGAAATAGTTCAAGTGACATAGTACAAATCCGAAATGTATTCTAATCGAACAGATTCTAAAAAACTAAGCTCGAGTTCATCAATATCTTTTGTGTGTTATAAATCAATCATTTGGTTTTTGTCTAACATCGGAGACGTGTTACACTGGGGAGTTCATAAGTTAAATGTTCGGAATGGAATCGTTAGTTTCAGTTACAAAGAAGAGTTAATTCGAGAAGTTCCTATCAGAAAATGGAGGAACAAACGCTTGCTGATCTTCAAACAGCAAAGTTTATGCTTCATGTTGCTGTTACTTGCATTCTTCTTGAGAGGTAAGAAATACTTGATGCTATTTTAATCACAGGTTTGAATTTATTTACAAGTCTCTCACCAGTAACATAACAATCGGCAGCGTGAGACTAGGACTGACTTTGAATTCATTTCAACCTACAGCTTAGACCTGCGCAAGATTCCGGATCAAAAAACCAATATCCCGCATATTTTTTTTGATTCCTGAAAAATCATAGCCGGTAATACGTAAATTGCTCTATTATTCAAAGAAGCAAAATCAATTTCACGAAAAAACTTTGTTGCATCAGTTGTTGAATTTAAATAGTGTACGCTGAATGAAGTAAATTTTGTTGCATGGAGTTTATGCTTGGTCATAAATCGAGATTTATTGCTGCTCTGCAATTTTGAACGACGGTGACAGAAGTATGGAGAAATTATCCAGAACAAGCAAGCGCAAACGGTATTCCCTCTTAACCGTCATGGCTGTTTTTTCGGTTGTCATATCCTATATAAGCAGACGATCGATCGCCAGCAAGTTTTTCTTCTCGACAAAAAATGTCAATGAAATTTAGAGTGCGGGCAAATTGTACATTATTCCCGATATTCCATAGAAAATTACAATCGCATTACTCGAATTTATTTCACACGCTTTCATAGACAACGAAACGACAGAGAACATATATTGTCTACCTGAAGCTCAAGCTTCTTTACATCGGTTTT